ACCGCGTATTTTTGTGCCTCGAGCAGAGAACAGGGGGTGGAGGGGGATCATAAACCGATCGTAAACTCGGGGAAAAGTGTGGTCCCGATAATTCAACTTTTCTGGCGACGATAATTTCATTTCCGTGGCGCGGTCTCCCGAGCACGGCGTCACGTCCATTTAAGGAGATTGAAGGATATTATTCCAAACTATTCCTACGACCGAACACATCACAAATCCTGAAACTTTTACAGAACAGTAAAGAATAAATTAAATTATTTAAAAAGAAATATATAAAAATAATCTTTTACCGAAACCCTGCTATAGACAATGAACGCTATCTATCCTCAGTAATTATAATGAACAACTAAGTCTGAATCCATGAGTTTTACTATAATTTCTATTTTAACACTTTCACCGCTCCGTCTGATCAGCGATGACCGTCATGGAATGCAAATTCAAATATTAAATAACACAATCGGCTAGAACTGAAAGTCAGCTGAAATAGGCTCCGCGATGAACATGTTAAGTAAGGGCTTGAGATAATAGTCGGACATTCTTCGAAACTTGGCAAGGGATTTAAGAAATTTCCAAGTCACTCAAAATGATCAGGAATTTAGTCTGTCCGACGAAATAAAATTCATCTGTTCGACGGTATCCAGAACGTAGACTACTGTGTCGAATATTTGACGCGCGATCCCGTGCAACGAACCCGTCGCGGCGGGAATCGAGAGTTATATCGAAAAAAAAATCCTTTGGTGCGCGCGGGAAGAAAGGAAAGGGAGAGAAATGAAGGCGCGTGCTTTTGTCGGTACGTCATTAAGACATCCGGTCACCGTGCACGGTCGTCGCGTGTGACGCGAGCCAGTATTTCAAAAATATCGAATAAAACCCGAGTGGAGGCCTGGCGCGAAAACAGAGGCGTTCCTCGACCGCCCCTCTATTATCCTCGTCGATGATCCCCGTATTTCATCTTTTATTCGGGATATCGTTCTGGACGGAATTATTTTTAGCTGCTTCTATTTTGTCATGACACTTCTGATGGAGAGAGAGAGAGAGAGAGAGAGAGAACGTTCCTCTCGTTCAGGCAATATCGCGGCTTGCGTTCCGCGAGGAACCCGGACCATTCTCTGCGTGAGCTCAAGGTTTTTTTTTATATTATAAATATTGCGCGGATTGTGAGAGGAATTGTAGGATGGATACCTAGAAATTTGGTGGCAAAGGCTTGCAGACATAGGATCTGCTGATATATATATAATCAGAGATTCTTATATCTGAAAATTTCTTGCTATTCCAAATATTAAGAAAAATCAGAGCCTCGTAGTTTAGAGTTTTCGAGGAGTAGGCAGTATTCTTACCACAAGGTGATAGATTTCTACAATTTGGTGAATTTAAATGAAAAATATTAAGATCCATGAGTCACAAAAGGAAGAAGTTTAATAAACAATCTTTGTGTATAAAGAATAGTAAATTGTTCATCCAACAGATCCTTGGAAAAGAAATAGTTCTCATTCGTGACTTGATCATAATTTAATTAGCGTCGTTGGGCCAAACAGGAACAGTGACTCACGGATTGTGTAAGATGCAGCATAATATCTCAGTTTCTTTATGTATCCTCGCATGTTTCAGTTTCATCCTTCGAGCGAAATTAATGAATCAATGGGGGATGCGTCTCTACGAATGCTCTTAAATCGGTTTGCGAAGTTGATTCCAGAGGCGAATCGAGATTATTTCCCAGCCATCGTGCCACATTCTCCTAGAATAGAGTTATAGGCGAGCTGAGTTTCTATAATAATCGCGCATAGAAACGGCTCGTAAACAGCGTTAAGAAGCGTCTTTATAACGCGAGGCTGTAAACGAAAAGGCTAATACGAATAGTTCTACGTTCGCGGAGCTTTACGATTGCCAATCGTTCCACCAGAGCTCGCTATCTTTCGTTGACATAGTTAAGTCACGATACCGGGAATGCGTAAATCGCGCTCGAAACTGAAATAATTCACGGAGCCCGCGAATTGTGGGGCATGACGAACGAATCGCCGTTGGTAATTCGATTCGGTTTACGTAATTTCGTCGAATCGCGGTTTCCCGTTCGCGGAGGGGCTAACGACAGAACGCGGGAGGGTTGTCGTGCCGCGAATAGAGGGGGCCCGAAGACGATCGACGCGGGAAATTCGAACGAATCGTGGCGTGCATCGTTGGGGCCTCGTACGGTTCCCCGTGGCACACAGAGCGCTTGTAAATTGATCGCGACCGCGTCGAGGCTGAAAGCGATCTGCTCGTTAAGTACCGCAGCCTCCGAGAAAGACAGCGCTGGAAAGTGATCCAGGCGCGCGGATCGAGATCGCGATCGGGAGAATAACGACGAAACGTGACGCACTTGCAATTAATGGCGGAAGCGCCCGCGAACCTTTGTTTCTCTGGTTACCGTTGAATTATTCTCTCTCACCATGGGGTTTCGAATGTATTCCGCGTGACGCTTTCGATATTAGAATATCGTAATATCTGAATTTTTAACTAATTTTTCTGTTGAGCGAACATTTAAGGGGACCTTCAGCTTTGAAAGATTGTGACCAGTGTTTTTGATTTCTTGTTAAATCTTTTTTCTAGGAATGAAGAGACGTCTTAATTAGAAAAAAAGTGTTAATTATGTATTCGTCACTATTCTCCGACATCGAACGTAGTTGGCAAGCAAGAAGAATCGAGAAGGCATTTTTAAATTCAAGCCACAGTACCGTTTCCGTGATGGTAACATTTTTTAACTTCAATTTCTCGTGTATGCGTTATCGGAACATCTTCAAGGTTCCTAAGTTATCAGACCCTGGCTTCCTGTAGAACATCTTGTCCGATCTCTCCTGATAACACAATATGTATATACATACATCGTATATCCAGTGTTTGTTACCATTAATAATTAATAGTCTGTATTTAATGCTACTATTCTCTATATTCTCCCATAAGCTAATAAACAATATAAATATAAATTCAAATAAAACCTTCGTTTAAAAAATATGGAACTGTCCATTGAAATTCAGCCAAGAATCATTGAGCAACTGCATGGACTTATCACGTACAAAGATGCTAACTAGAGCAATCGAACCACGATTTACATACCGAGCGAGATCCATGCGGTCGATGGTTCGGAGAACCGTGCAAAGAGCTGTTCACCAACGTCACTCACAGCGCACTGCTTCTCCTTCTCACGAGATCCAATACACACACACACACGCACACGTACCGGCTATATAAACTTTCAAACTCGGTGTAAACCATAAATCGACGACAAATTCTCGCGTCTATTCGGTGGCTTGTCACCACGTACACTTCCCAAGTTTCATTTCGCGGGTAAGACAGTTTCAACGGGATAACCGTGTCGCCGGATCGGGATCGAAATTTCACGGTGCCACCCTGTATATCGCATGGGAAAATAAATCTTGTGGACACTCACCGGGAGGGAGACTGGACACTGGACGCTGTCACCGGACACGGGTTGCAGCGACTGCAACAGATCGCGTGCGTGAAAGAGAGGACGGCTATCAATGGCTGCATTATACAATACCCAGTGTGGTGTGGTGTGTAGCGCACGCGAACGCTCTTGGGCCCCCGCCGCCGGTGTGCGTGAACGATCGCGCGCGCTCTCGATCGTTCGCGTTGAGGTGCGTACGTATCGAGAGAAAGAAGGAGAGAGAGTGAGAAGACGGTCCTGTCGTGTGTATATATGTAAACCGTAGGAGCGAACCGGGTCCAACGAACGAACCAACGAACACAGAACGAGCGGACCAACGAACGAACGGTGCGTGCACTGGCAGGTATTCCCGCGGAGAGAATCTTCCCGGTGCAGAGAGAACCCGTCCGCTCCCATACGAACGGGCGACAAGCGCCGAACGTGAAACGGCAAGACGACGAAAGCGAGACGGTGCATGCCTGACCGATGTGCTCCACCCTGTTTCTCGGGTTTACTTTTGCGAACGAGCATTTCGCCGATTAGATATCGACACTTTTGCAAACACCGTCGTGTTGCACTACGGGGACCGTTCGATTATTGTGAACCCGACCTCTACACTCTTCCATTCTCCTTCTCCGTCTCGATTGGGTCTTGTTTGTTCCCCTTCCACCCCACCCTACGTCGCTCATGTCATGCGCCTTCGCTGTTACACTCGAGCCAAGAGACTGCACCGAGTTCGATCCTTTTCCCACCGATTCCCACCTGATTCCACCTCGGGTCGCTATGTTCCGTTTTTACCTTACCTTCTTCCCCTTTTCCTGGCCCCGCGCCTCTTCTACCTTCCGTCTTTCCACGGATCGCTCGCGACCGGACTGACCTGTTCACGTGCACACGCGGCCACCAGGTCTCCGCAATAACTATATCGAGGCCCAGTTTTTTTTTTATTTGCCGGCCCGTTTCTTACCGTGGCTCGGAAATGAATTGAGTTATTGTAAAATCGTGTCCAGCGCCGGGGGCTCTGTAATTGTCCGCGCGTGTCCCTCCCCGCCCCCCCCCCTGTCGACCCAAGGCTCCAGAGTCTACGGTGCAATCGGAACGGATTTTTCGCTCAGCGCCTTTTGCCCGTTGCGGACACGTGCGCGGCACGATTTCACGTGGAACGATTCGTGTGTCTTTCGTGTTCGACGTTATTTTGATACGTTCGCCACGCGACTCCACGGAGTTTCCGCGACAACGCTGACCTACGATATATAATAGATTTGTTGTCGACTTTGTCGCGGGATAATCGTGTCGTTTGTAAATCAAAACGAGTTTCTTATAGGGGACACGAGAACCTCGATTGTCTCTGTGTGTATGGCTGACCTGGCCGAGATGTAGAACGAATTTTTCTGTTAATTCCTCGCTAGATTTATAACCTGGTTCGGCGTGGCTGACCGATAGTTGTGTTTCTAAAGGAGTTCAAATGACAAGGATCGAAGCGATTTCGATCCTCCATTCGGGCTGGTCCCATTGAGGAACGGCGGCGCGGGAGGACGGGGGTGAATGAATAAGCGCAATAAGCAGGTGCTTCTCGACTCACCGGCTTCGAATCTCCTTCCAGCTGATCGGGTTTATGGCCGTGACGACCCCATCCACCGACGAACAATTACGGCGAACATCAGGAAGCACACCGTTCTGCGAACAGATTCAGAGGATCGTTTTATTGTTTCGGCTTGGTAATGGATTTCGCGTAATTCGAGGAGTATCGATGATGGCTTTTGTTCGGTTATTGTTCTTACGTATGATGATTACGAATGGTGGATCAAACTTAATGAATATATTCTATTCAATCGCTATACTTTCGATGTTGGTTTTAGAAAAATCGGGTAATTAAACATTGATTATTGATTTGGGGCAAAAAATTAAAACCGTAAACCTGCTAGAAATTGTATGTAAATTAAAGTCGGACGGATTATTGATGGTCTTTGTGCAGACTCGATAGACTGAAATAGCGTAAGTTTAATTGACATTTGATGCTGTGACAAAGCCTAACTGGATTCAACGATCGTACGTTTACGTAATCTGCTGGATCGTTGCAGAAACCTCGGTAAAACGTCTCGCGTTAATTAAGAATAAGCCACGGGGTGCATCGAAGTGTAAGCAACAGTCAGATTTAAAGATTCATCATTTTTGACAACGTGTTTTATGTTTGATTCTCCCGGAGTTTCTGATGTACCACGCTTAATGCTCGAGCAGTTTTATGTTAGTCATCTGCTACTAAATAAGACGGCACGCGTTTACGTATAATAAACTTCAGATGTACTTTTCACACTTCTTTAGTTACTCCGTCGTTTTCATTTAAGGAAATTGCAGATACTCGTACCGCAATAAATTCTCTGGGCAGTAAACTCGTCTATAAACTTTAAAAGAGGGAGCAGATAAGTAAAATGTAATACATTCTTGTAATGATTCCCGTTGAAAGGTAAGATTTATATTTTGATCTTTAACTTCACGCTAGAAAGTAGCTGAAGGATGATTGCAGAATGATCGATGTGGTGTTCATCGTAAAATACAGATTAATTATTCGCCAAATAGAAAACTGAATCTCGACGATGCCATAAACCGAGGTGGCCATCGTACGGAGATCCTCGCAGCTAGCTCGAGTGTTCGTTATTCGCACCTCTGATAATTGATAACAAAGGGACCGACCGCAGAATACATCGCGAAGATTTTACACGGAGGTCGAAGGACTCCGTGGTCCGCGGGTCCAGCCGGACAGATACGAAGGATCCGGGGAGAAGAGACAAAGGACGATGATTCAGAGGTAGTAGGAGAGAAGTACCTGGTAGATGACACGAGATTCCTACGAAGGTGGGTACTACTCGCCGGCATTCCTCCCGCCTGGTGGAATCCGACGATGTTAAATGAACCGTCCTGAGAAAATATAATGTCCGCTAAACATTCTCTCCCCCTGGTACCGTAATTTATGGCGACGACCGAAATCGTCTGAATCACTCGCGGTGGGGCTTTACGTGACCGATCGACCGAACCGAAACCGTTCCGATCGGAATAGTAGAGGATTAGATTCCTACTTTATAGAGACGACACAATAATACCAGTTCCCTCAGACACCTTCTATTCTTCGTTCCACTTTGCATCGGGAGGAGGGGTGGTTCACGACAGTTGCAGAGGAAGTTCCTTTGCCTTTAAATGTATCCCCTGTCTGTTACATTGCAAACTTCTTCGGTTCCGAGTTGCACTAGCGGTGTCCCCGCAACCGCATTCCTAGCTGACCGGACCCATCTCTTTCGCTCTTTGTGTGTGTTGTTCCACAGAAGACGACGGCAGGTAGTGTTTGCTCTATTAATAGAACCGCTGATCAATTCGCAGCCACTCGGCCCGTTGGTTGTACCTGTGGCACGTGGGCGTTCCCGGGTAGCAGGCAGCCGTAAAGTCGTTAAGTAGCCACTTTCGAGTTCGGAATAAGGAGATGACGGATCATTAGCCCTCGGGATTCTCCCGTGACTACTGGCTGGGTCCCTTAGGGTCGCATAACTTGCCGTTTCGCGAGAAAACAAACAACGTCGGAGCCGCGGTCTCTTCGATGGTATCCCTTTGCCAGGACTAGACGTAAAAGTATGTACCTACCATTTCGCATATTTCTCTTAAGTCATTATGTTACTTTGGTTAGGAACGTTCTGTGGGTAAGACCCTTTTATAACACGGAGATCTTTCGTTTTGTAAATGAAAAGTCGATAGTTGAAAGCTGAACGGTTCTTTACTTTCATTTATACAAGGAATACCGATGTTAGTAGCTTTAAGAGATGATTCGACATTCAATCGTCAGGCAAAGTCAAGATTGAGAATTTTGTTATTAACAATCAAAAGGGGTCAAATTCGAGTCAGAAACGCTAGAAAGCAGACAATCCTGCTTATGCGCGGTAAGCACCGACCGAGAAAAATACACTTGCACTCGAGCCTAGACAATCTTCTTGCGACACTTCATAAAAAATATACATGAATCGTTGCACGAAATTACCTAGTTACTCGTTCAAATTCAGAAGAATGACCACAACACACACGGAGAATAAACACTAAATAAATTAACTTCAACTACACTCCAACTCACTAATATGAATTAAATTAATACTATAAAAAAATACAGATGCTCTTTGTAGAAGTCTATTTCGCGTCGACTAGATGTGTTCGTATTAACGACTGCCACCGAACTGAGGACACGTTACTCGAATCCAACGCAAAAGACAGAAAGGTAATACAAAAAAAAAAAGTGTTCGCTAGGAAGAATAAGATCTTAAGCAGAACTGAAGAAGAGGTGGTCGAGGGACAGAAAACGGCAGGAGGTATTTCTGACCCCAATTTTCAATTGTTGATAACTTGAAAACAAAGTGCCCATCACAATTGGAATCCCATCAGAATAGCCCCGAACACCTTGTATGTACAGGAACGACACCTGAATGACGCACAATGGTCCAGAATCGAAACTTAGCAGCTCAAATGGTGAAAACAAATTTTTTTTATTTTTAAAAAAACTCACATCAATTTATTTTTAAACGTGGAAGATTTGTCCCATACATTGTTGTTCTCCTCAGACCTTTTCGTATCATCGATTTATGAGTCAGAAATAGAAAAAAGAATTCCTGAAAAATTCAGAATTCCCTGAAGATGTTGAGAACACTTGTTAGTAGACAATAACGTCATCGCAGAGGAACTCTAAAATTGATAAAAATTTATTTATTGGTCTAATTCTATTTGAATAAAATATATGAGTTTCAAAATTATTAAGTGCCTCAGCTAAACAGACGTATGAGCTGCTAAATTTTGATTGTAGATCACTGTGCGACGGTGCTGCAAATTTCGAAACTTTGGATATCGATACACTCAATACACCAGGATCTGTTTCGATCTGCACCCGTTCCCATTGGAAACTATCGAGTCCTGTTGTCACACCTCCGAAACGTCACCTGTGAACTTTGAATACTCGTTACCGGAGAATCTATGCGACAAGTTTCCCGGCAAAGTGCAGTGTCTCCGGAATACGGTGTCGCCCACGCTCGCCTTCGTCGTTTGCACGAAACTACAATAGAAGCAACAATGACGCCATAAATTGCCCGGCGGTTCTTCGCGGTCCCGTAGAAATCGGAGCTGAATTCCAGGGTTCGCAAATGGCGCTTTGTCCCACCGGTCTACCCGGGTGTTATCCGCACGATCTCGATACCGTAACAACTGTCCGGATTGATAACGTCACCGTCCCAGCAACTGGGGAAAAAATGCTGACCGACTTCATAGTATCGTATCTACCCGTAGTTTTCTAACACTGACCAGCCGGAGGAGAGACTGGTCTCTGTTACGTCGGAACCACATCCAAAAATGGTCGCTCGGGTCCCAGGCGTGTGTGTACACGCGTATACGCTTCCTTATTTCTTAAGAACGCCCACGCGTTATTAGCATATTAATGCAACGGCGGAAACGGGCCGACTCGTGTTTTCTGGAAGACCTAAATGGCGCGGATCGTGCACACGGGGCGAGCTTTCAGTGCGCCGTTTCATCCGATACCTTTGGATTTTGATGCCCGGCACTCTCGACTACGGTTATCTACGAATTACAACTTCCTTCTTGCTTTACAAGTCTGCCAATAAACACCGCGGTCGAAGCGAAAAAGCCTCGGTGTTCCTCATCGGGTGAGATATGCTTTATAAAATATGACTGTTTCTCGTCCTAATAGCGCGAGCCGTCCGTTTATCTGCGGAGAATAAGACTCACCTCGCGAGGATCCGTCGTAACAATGAGATAAAGAAAACTTGGAAGGTGGTGGCGTTATTATCGTCTCGGTGGTTCATTCGCGATCGAGCCTTGGCCAGGTCTGACTCCCATTACCACGGACGCTTCTGTCGGCACCCGGAGAATCTCTTATCCGACAATTTGCGCGTAATACAAGACGAAGCTTACGCGTTTTTCTTACGACTGCACGGTATGCGCATATTCGACTCGAATCTTATCCCCGGGTACGGCTGATGTTCCAGCACCACTTTCTTTCTCTAGTCGAAAGTGGCTATTTAGCGCCTTTATGGCCGACGTGCTCGGCTACTACCCAGAAAATCACCGCTGCGCCCCGAGGCGTATCGCTTCCATGACCACGAATTTATCATCGGCTCTGTTAATAAGAGAACGCTGGTTGTATTCTTTTAGTCTAACGAGGTTTGCCCACGTTATGACTTGTTTGGTCGTCTGACGAACGCGTTGCGCTTGACGTTTCAGGGACTTTTTTTTCCAAAGACAATCTTTCTTTATCAGAACAAAAGAAGCTTGTAAAATTTTGTTCTAACGAGTAGAGGTTAGTAATCGTAGTGTGATGTCTTGGATACAGATATGATGACTTTTACTCGACTCGCCTACTCCCTTAAAACGTACCAGTGACTTAAAACTGTACAGAACTGATCTTTCAGCTATTAACTTCAGACGCTTAACGCGTTCATCATGGAGCCTGTTTTCGCTGGCTTTCCATTCACGTTGATTCTATTATTTGACATTGGAATTTCTATTACACACACGACGGTCACCGTTGATCGACGATGAATGTGTCAAGGTCCATCTCCGACATTTTTACGTCCCCAGATCTTCCTCGCTGAATCCACTCGACAGCACCTCGGGACTCCAATAGATTGTCGGAGGTCTTC